CTTTAGCCGCAATACACGCTCGACATGTATCCATACCACATACAGCGTGTTCAACCTCTCCTGCCCCGGGATTATGAGCCCCGAGTTGCTTTTTGTCGCACAATGTTAGAAAGACACAGGAAAGATCTACAGTTCTTTTAAAAAATTTTATGGTTGGATGAGACCATATTTAAGAAAGATGGGTACATGAACCTGCATAACTTACACGAGTGGCACGTAGCAAACCCAAATTTGATGAGAGAAGATAAATCTAAATATCGCTTCAAGATAAACCATTGGACAGGAATTTTAAATGGTAAAATAATCGGTCCGTTTGAGTTCCCAGAGACTTTGACTGCTGAGGTTTATTTAGGTTTTTTGCAAAATCATTGAGAAAATTTATTGGAGGACGTGCCACTGAGTATTTACAGGGACATGTGGTTTCAGCATGATGGCTGCCCAGCGCACTATGCACTCTCAGTGAGAGAGTATCTCGATCAAAACTTTCCAGGCAGATGGATAGGGCGGTCTGGTACAATACAGTGGCCAGCCCGGTCACCAGATTTGAATCTGTTAGATTTTTTTTACTGGGGAACTGTAAAAGAATAAGTGTATTTCAAGCCGATTCAAAATGTAGCTGAGCTACGGCAAAGACTATTGGAAGCAGCCGAGTTTGTTAATAACCGTGGATTCGCTCGTTTAATAACCCGATCTTTTTTAAGAAGATGTCGAGCGTGTATTGCGGCTGAAGGAAAACAGTTTGAGCATTTGCTGTAAAGGTAAATCATCATCAGCAGCATTTTGACGCCCACTGTTGTGCAAACAGTTATCCTTAAGGGTCCTTGTGCGTTTTCATAATCGCTGATTAATTAGGAAATTTTGAAAAATTTTCATCAGTTTTTTTTCAAATAAAAATTGTGCACAACTTAACGAGTAATCTTCTAAGTGTTATACCATTTTGGAATCGTTATTAAATGCGCCAACTTTTAAGGTTACTTGCCAAACTCTCGTAGTACATTTTTTTCCAGTACAGCCAGTTAAAGATGAGCAAAGTTTTACTTTGGAATACTTGGTTGGGAAATAAGTGGCAATTTTTCCTGAACGAGAAAAGTTGGCAGTAAGGTTGAGACACCAGTTTGAAGATGCATTATTCATCATTACATTGTAAAAATAAAATCCAAAAAAAGTTAATATTTGTAGTAACAGGAGTTGACAGACTGCCGTAGGGTGTGAAATTTCTATATGTTTTTCAAAGACCTATAATTTTCAAAACACATACATAAAATTTTTTTAAATATTTTTCTGATAGCTGTTATGACTTTGCCTATCTCCCGGTTTCGGCTTGACGTCGACTTCTGGGACACCCTGTATATACCTTCCGCCTTTTGTTGGGTACTTCGACAAAATTTAAGCAAGGAGGACTCTTTATACTTTTGTAATCTCTCTAGCTTTCAATGGTCTTTGCCATCATCATCCGGAGCTGCAATTACATTGATAAAAGTAGCAACAATTGTGTAAAATGAATTTAAATGAACTTACAGTAGTATGTGAGGATGTTGCTAAATGTTATTTACGTTAAGGATGAGGGAAATATAAGGGAAACACAATTGTTGCTACTTTTATCAATGTAATTGCAGCTCCTGATGATGATAGCAAAGACCATTGAAAGCTAGAGAGATTAAAAAGTATAGAGTCCTCCTTGCTTAAATTTTGTAGAAGTACCCAACAAAAGGCGGAAGCTTTAATTTTTTACCTATATATATATATATATAACTTGAGACGTGGTCATTGTCGTCTAGGCCAGTTAGGTGAAAAATTAAAGCTTCCGCCTTTTGTTGGGTAGTTCGACAAAATTTAAGCAAGGAGGACTCTTTATACTTTTTTAATATCTCTAGCTTTCAATGTTCTTTGCTAACATCATCAGGAGAGTAGTATGTGAGGATGTTGCTAAATGTTATTTACGTTAAGGATGAGGGAAACACCCAGTAACATGGTGAAAGCTGGATACATGTTACAATGTCAAAATTATACAAACTACACACAGCTGTATGACAAGAACAAATTAAAAACAGATTAAAAATATTTAAAACGAAAGTTAAGCATTATATGGTGAAGCCACTTGATGATTGCACAAAATGGTGTTTCCCTCATCCTTAACGTAAATAACATTTAGCAACATCCTCACAAACTACTCTCCTGATGATGATGGCAAAGACCATTGAAAGCTAGAGAGATTAAAAAAGTATAAAGAGTCCTCCTTGCTTAAATTTGATCGAAGTACCCAACAAAAGGCGGAAGCTTTAATTTTGCACCTAACTGGTCTGGACGACAATGATCACGTCTCAAGTTATATATATATATATATATATATATATATATATATATATATATATATCCGGGTGCGCCATCTTTTGTGTCGGTATTGAAACATCGAATATTTAACAACCGAGTGATTTGGTTTTATCGTGTTTCTGAAACATCAATTTACTACAATTTTTGTCATTAATCGCTTTACACCGAAGCAACGCGCCGGAATAGTCACAATGTACATTGAAAATCGTCGTTCAGTGGTGTTACCGCAACGTGCATATCGTCGAAAATATCTGACAACACTATCTGTCGTTTGGTTTCGAATTTTCTTGAGCACGGGATAGTGGGAGATCGTCAACATACCGTTCATCGACAACCAAGACGTTCCAATGAACTTGTTGAAGCGGTCAGAGACAGCGTTGCCCAGAATAAAAAAAGGATTTTTTTTAAAATTTAAAACGCATAGGTGTTCTAAAATCTTTAAATGCAAAATTTCGTAATTGCGATCGACCTGAAATTTGAGTTATTTTCGGGCCCGAAAACTCCTGAACCTTCGTAAAGTGAAGCATGCAACTATATGCTGGATCTCGCACTATTGCGAGCGTGTGTGCGTGTGTGTGGATGTTTTCGCGAGGTAGTCAAGCAGAAGTGTACCTTCCGGGGGCGGCAAATGTTGAGGGGGCGGCCGTTCTTGCCATTTTCGGTCAAAGGCTTGCCATTCGCCTCAAGCCACGCGGATTGTCCACACAGTTCGCATCTCGTATTCTTGCGGCCTTTGTATTTGTCGTTAGAAGGACGACATTGGCGCGCACTGGACATTTTCTACATGATCCGCTATTTGCTCAGAAAGCACCTTATACTCACTTTACATTGACCGTGAATCCATGAATTTCTGCATGGCCAAATTTCAAAAGTATAAAACGACAAAGTTCATGGATTTCTTCGCTCAATTACAACTTGTTCTAATTTTTGACAAGTTGGACGTCACATTCCTTTTCCTTTCTATCTGTTTGTCATTTGTTTGTCTGTCCATTGTAGGACGCCTGTATGGCCTCCTTAATGTTCATAGTTTTCTACTGTTCCGTGTCAGCGCTCTATTTTGAGGTTATGTTATGAAATATAAATATCTATTTGCATCAACTTGTTCATGCTTTTGAGTTATATGATGTGTTATATCAGCCTGAAATTTCTTACAATTCAAAAAGAAAATATAGCTACACAATAGGAGAGCGCTGACGCTGACACTGAACACTAGAAATCAAGAAATACCCCAGCCTTTCTGAAGGAGAGAAAAACTATGAAAATCGGGGAGGCTATAAAGGCGTCCTACAATTGAACGAACGACCGATAAAGCCCTAAGCCCCGTATCGTCAGTCGTCCCTACAATTGTAGGGCGCGTTTATGGCCTCCAAGATTGTCATACTCTTTTCTCTCCTTCAAAAATTTCTAGATTACACTCGTCCCGTGTCAGCGTCAGCGCTCTCCTATTGTGAAGATATGTTTTCCTTTTGAATTGTAGGAAATTTCAGGCTGATAAAACATGATATAACTCAAAAGCAAGCACAGTTTGATGCAAATAGATGTTTGTGACATAACCTCAAAATAGAGCGTTGACACGGAGAAGTACAAAACTATGACAATCAAGGAGGCCATAAACGCGCCCTACAATTGTAGGGACGACTGACGATACGGGCCTTAGAGCTCCTAGGAGGCCTCACATCAGAATTTGCAGGGGGTCCTCCCAACTGCAGCGAATCCCAAATCGAAATTTGAAGTATAGATTTTTATAAAAAAAAATAAACGCTTGCATTAAATAATATGAATTGTCTCGTATTATCCATGGGCGCCCGTATTAAGTTTTCTCGGTTAGAAACGGTGGATCATCGACAAGAGATAACTTTCTGTAGAAGAATGGGTATACCTGCTTCCATAACTTTTTGAAGAGCAAATTTTGCGTGGTTTGGGCTGAGAGCTCTGTGAATGGAAGCATTTTAGAAATTCAGATATTTTTTTTTGTGTTACGATGTCTACGAAACACGTAAATCGTTGAGAGGTCATAGTAGGTAGTGCGACTTAATTTTGAACATCGTTTTAATGGCAGCGGTGTTACGAGTAAAAATTAAAGATCAAAATAGCTTTCAGATCGTGGGAAAGTTTGTCTTGTATGCTTTAGAACTTTCTGCGCATTTTTCAGGGTATGAGGTTACTAGTTTTTAAAATTCCAAAAATATGCTTCCCTAGTTCATACCAGTGAAGATGGTGACGCCAAAACGACGTCATTATCCGGTCACTTTTGGTCGGAAACGTCATTGACTAAAAAATAACCTCTTTATTAGCACCATTTTTTTTCAAGACAACCTTAAAAGGCTGGCATTTTGACGTCTTTTTCAGGACAATCAGTACTGAAAAATCAACACTTACCGACAAAGAAAATATAGACTTTTAATAAACAGTAACTAGATATCCAAATACTAATTACTTTATTGTTATTTATAAAAAAATATCGGGAATTCTTCGTCCAAAAATATCCTTTAATACGACTTTTCTAATAACAATATTCCATGTTCAGATATTTAAATATTGCTGTTTTATTCTCGTTAATATAAATGTATTAGAAACCTCTGTATAACAATAAATAAGTTTTACTACAATATCAGCGTCACATAGACGCCATATCGACGTCATATCGACTTTGTATTTAGTCTTTTATACGACATAATATGACGTCATAGAATGACGTCGATTGGATATGACATTAGACCGCCATAATGACGTCATTTTTGTTGGTCGGCGTACGTCAGTACTGCCCTGAAAATGATGACACTATGATGTCACCATGGGATGATGAGAAAAACTATAACTATAAAAATAAATCGTTTATTTTGAGAAAATACCAAAAATATGTGTGAAACTAGGTTACAAAAGTTCGATAAGACATTAAAAAGTGAGCTAAACATGCTCAAAAAATTGTACAAAAGTTGCATGAAAAACTCGTATCACAAATCTTCGGTTTTGTTATCATTGGTCACCATAGAATTCTTCAATTGTTCTTCCAGAAACTTGTTCATCATTTTCAGCTGTTCATTTTCTTCAATCAACTTATTCATATCGCACCCGGCGGCTAAGAAAGCGGTGGCATTTTTCATCGTTTCAAACACCTTCTGCATATAAACAAACTGTTTAACTTGGAACAACTGCAAGTCAAAGAGATTCCTCCTCAGCTCTGTGATAACGTGCATAGTGTTAAAGTCAACCTTTTTGTTGATCTCTTCCATACGTTGATCCATTTCTTCCTGAAATAATTCTTTGAGCGTTGATTTCATATCCGTATTTTCAACGACCGGTTTCTCTTCATTCACTTTGTCCCCGCAGCCTGCATTTGGGAAAACTTTAGGTGTAGAAGAAAAGTGTGGATCGGACAATAAACGTTTAGTTTCGAATATTTTCGCTGAATTCGGTGTCGGAATATTATCGCCACCCGGATTGGTTACATGAAGGACGGGAAGCATAGCGGAACTTTTTGAAAAAACACTGTCGTTATGAACAGAATGTGTACTATTTCCATCTATGCCTAAGGCTGCTAGGAAAGAATCACCTTCATCCGCAGATATGGTACGTTTAGTGGATGTCTCTGTTGCTGATACAGATACCGGGCCAGCTGAGGCAAAACCGAACAGATCGCTTGTTCTAGAAATCTTTTTTTGGGTCTCATTGGGTAATACTGGTGAGGCTAAGTCAGATAACATGCTTGACATAGAACTACTGTTAGTTTTATCACATGTCCTTTGGAATGCTACGTGTCGCACGGTTGTTTTATGCGCTTGAAAAGTGTATACCGGTTCAGTAATGTTTCTACAATCATAGATAAGCACTCGTCCGTTCTGTGAACCAGCAATAATATGCATCCCGTCCTGAGAATAGTCTAGCGATATGATGTTATTACCAACCGTAACCGAAGCAACTTGCTTTTTTTCTGTATAATCAAAAAGAGAAACTGTCTGTCATTCCCAGCCGCTGCCATGAGATCCTGGTTGATCGTAGAAAAGGCTACAGCGTTTACAGGCGCGTTAAAGGCTTCTCTGAACCATTTTGGTTTGCCAACGTTGCTGTCCCAAACAGTAATGACTCCTTCATTGCTACCCCCCACAAATTAGGTTATGTTTCAACTGGTTTATTTTCATACAACTCATGGAACTCGACTTAGGCACTTTAAGTATAGTTGGGGGACTGTTTGTCACAGTATTAAAGACACAAACATCCCCATTCTTGCAACCGACAGCACAATGAGTATCTTTCGTTGAAAATTCCAAATGCGTAATCTGGCTTATGCACCTAGGAAATCGCTTTTTGACAGTTCTAGTCTTGACATCATACAACATCACCAGACCGTTCTTCGTACTGATGCCCAGCGTTTTCTTGCTGCTGAGGAATGCAGCGCAAGTCGGTTCTTCTACATTCGGGATGAATTTTAGCAGTTTCAAGTTGTTTTTGACGGTGAGGATTTCAGGCGGGCCAAAATGTGGGACGATAACCAGCCACTTGCCGTCCCTACTCCAAGAGATGCTGCGGACTGGTCCATCTACCTTTGTGCCTGGTTGGTAGTTGTGAACTGCCTCCCCACTGGGGAATTCGTGGAGTTTTATTGTTGTTGATGCTGAGGCCACGTACATGCCTACAAAACGTTATTATTGAAAGAACTGTTACGCTAGTATCTCAAACATGAATTGTGTTTGGAAATTAGGTTGTTTACAGTTTTACTGTATTGACCAAGGTTATCTTTTCCGTTAATTTTTGTATGCAAATGCAGAAGCTCAAATAAAAACGTACCTGCTGCGATTACCTAACGATCTTTTGAGAAAGGGATAATTTTCACAAAAAAATTTCATAACATTTTTCAGTTGGTGATAATTTTGACATACATTTGAATTTCCAGCTGTTTCCCATCACTCCCTGACTGTCTTCTCTGTATAGGTACAAGTGAGATTGCCAAGTCGCCATGTGTCAAAGAGATGGCAGCACCAGTCGCTGGTAGTGACATCTATCTTAAGATCTCATAACTATAACCGATAGATGCACAGAAACCTATTTAACATATCTAGTGGTTCAATTTATCTCGAAGAGATGGCAGCACCAACCGCTAATAGAGCTGGTGACATCTAGCCAGGAATTGTATAATTACAACGAATTCTAGTAAAAAGACCTGTAAGGATATTTGTAGCCTTAACGTGTGACGTAAAAAAGGCAGCACTAACGAATGGTGCTAAGGTGACATCTAGTAGTGATATAATTAATCAAGCCTGTTATCAAAGTAGAAATATATACTAAGTGACATATAAATCCGAACACCCAGTTTAAATGGTTTTATTTTAATAAAATTTTGTATAAGTACTTAATGAAGCATAATAAGTAAATGATAAAAATTTCAAAACGATTGCACTGCTTTAAAGCCCTTTGACCTTTAATAATGTGTGGATGCACCCTGATGTGCTACGCATTCTCCAACGCGCCTAGGCATGCTTCTGATCAGGTGGTCAATGTCCTCCTGTGGTATCTCATTCCAGGCAACCACCAACTCCTCTCGAAGTGCTTCTAGAGTCTGAGGAGGACGTTGCAAATTGAGCAATCTCCTACCCATCATATCCCACACGTGCTCAATTGGGGATAATTCGGGAGATCTTGGTGGCCATGGTAACAATGTGACATCATTATGTTGAAAGAAGTCTATTGTGACTCTTGCAACATGTGGTCGGGCATTATCTTGTTGGAAAGTTGGATCTGCCAGGGTGTCAAGATAGGGTAAAAGATGGGGTTCTAGAACTTCGTGGATATAACGCTGCGCGTTCATGTTACCTCTGATTAAGATTAAAGGTGACCTGGAACCATAAGCTATAGCACCCCAAACCATAACTCCAACAGTGTGATGAACATGTCTTTCAACAAAAAACTGTGGATTCCTCCTTTCACCACGTCGCCTTCTAACCCTGGCACGACCATCGTGCATGCCTAAACAAAATCGAGACTCGTCACTAAAGACAATACTGTTCCATTCCTGATCCCAGCATGACCGTTGTCTGCACCACTCAAGGCGATTACGTCGGTGTTCTCGAGTTAAAGGGAGGACCCAGTGTGGCCGGTATGAAAACAAGCCAAAACTTCTCATTCGTCGGTAAACACTTCGCATGCCAATAGGTCTTCCGTGTTCTGCAAACCATTCATTTGCAATGGACCCGGTAGTGGAGAAACGGTCCGTTAAGGCCAATAATCTTAGGCGGCGATCTTCACGGTCTGTTGTTCTACGGCGGCGTCCAGTGCCCCTTGCTCTTTGCGTACGGCATTCTCGAAGCCATGCTTGCACTTCTTTGCACTCTAACTGCAATTGCCCGAAAAGAAAGTCCAGCTTCCCGAAGTCCCACTATACGGCCCCTATCAAACTCACTAAGTTGACGAAATCGTACAGGTCTCCGTACTCTAGGCATTATAACGGATCGTAAAGGATGTCAAGAACCAAAATCTGCCAACGTTGATTCTTTACTGCGGCTGAAATATTCATTTTTAGAGCGTTAGTGAATTAAAAAAAAGCAGTATAAAACCGGAATGTCCAACTGATAAGGCTGAACATTTTTTCACTTGTTATTTACAGTAAGATAAATACATTCACCAACTTTTATTAAAATAAAACCATTTAAACTGGGTGTTCGGATTTATATGTCACTTAGTATACATTATAAGCACTGTTGGTTTATTTAGTATCTACGAGATGGCAGCACCAGGTAGCACAGATGAAAGACTGAGGAGACGAGTGAAACTGAGACGCCATCTTGGTCCAGATCATCATTAATCTGTCGATATCTTTAGGTTTAGGCTGTCTGGCATTCTACCTTATTCTATGATTCTTTATTAAAATGTTCTTGTTCCGTGACTAAAGTTTCCTTTTCCGTTTGTCAACGAGTGACGAAGCTAGGTTAGTATTATTTATCCAAAATCTGTTTTAAAACCAATATAAAAGTTTGGAATTCTAGCGATTCAAGAACCGGTACGTTTAAAAATTATAATTCAACAGTTCGTGTGCTAGAAATTGCTTTCGGAAGGAAATTATCTTACGAACACTTTTAGGTTATCACACGTGTGTACGATTTGTTTTCTGTTTCAGAAAATGCCGTCTGTAACTCTAAAAGACGTCGACCAGCACAAATTCGTCAAGGCGTTTGCCTCGTTTCTGAAAAAGTAAGTTGAACAAGCAGCTCTTTTTTAAATTTCTTATATTTTCCCTGCTTTCAGAACTGGCAAGCTCCGCGTACCAGAATGGGTGGACCTTGTGAAAACCTCAAAGGCTAAGGAACTGGCTCCTTACGACCCCGATTGGTACTACGTCAGATGTTCTGCGGTCGTCAGGCACATATACATTCGTTCCCCAGTAGGTGTTGGGTCACTTACAAAGATTTTTGGGTCTCGCAAACGTAATGGCACCAAGCCGTCTCACTTCTGCAGGTACCTACTCTTTTCTTTCTTGCCAAGCATATATATAGGCAAATATATCATACTTGGGATTTGAATGTTCTGCCAAATGATAATCTAGATGAAAGTACCACTAGTTTTTGAAATAATTGCAGTCTGGTTTTATTGATGCAAGTTGTTCAAGGGGGCATTCAAAACATGGACTTATAAAATGCTTACACCAAATGTGTTTATTGGGATTCAATCAAAAGTATTGGCACGAACGAAAAACTCTTCAAAAAAGATTTTTAGGTATTTATGAGTATAGTAAAATAGTTATGGCCGAAAACTGAGAAAAGATGCTGGTTTAGCACTTGTTGGTAATGCAACATATTGAATATGAAAACAAAAAAAAGCTGTTTTTCTTTATCGACACTGAAAACCCAAATACTGTATATTCATCCATAGAATAGCCAACATTTTTTTTTTTTTTGTAATGGTATTTTACTGAAAGTAACCCAGCAATACAAATCAAAGCCCAATGACTTTCATCATCTACAGCATCAAAAGTGATATTTTTTGCTCTCTTTTGAGTGTATGTAAGGAACCCACTGGAAAAGTTTCCTTCCCTCTTAATGGGTGTGTACCTCAGTAGGCTTTTTTTATATAATTTTTTATTTTATAATAATTTATTTCATTGTTGAATAGAACAGAAAATTCATAACAAATGACAAGGTCATAAAAATAGTGACGAGTTGAAAAAGTATAAAAATATAGATCTAAACAAAAAACTCCCCTAAGGTGTAGAAACATTTGTCTATCAAAAAAAAGTTAGTTTTCTTTTGAATTGATTCCTTACTAATATCATCATTGAGCTTATTAAAAATCTTACATCCCATATACCTGCATGTTTTTTGGTATGCCGTAGTTCGATGTCTCGGCGGGATTAAAAGCATCTTAGACCTAGTTTGATATTCATGCTGGTGTTTGATGACTCCAATTTCGCGCTTAAATTTGAAAACAAACAAAGCCAACTCATATAATATATATAAAATCTACTTATTTGTATTTCTCCAACAGTTTATCGTTTTGTTGATTCCAGGTCTGCTGGAAGCATTGCCAGGAAAGCACTTCAAAGTCTTGAGGGTCTCAAACTGATCGAAAAATGCCCCGATGGTGGCAGGAAGTTGACCCAGCAAGGAAGGAGAGATTTGGACAGAATTGCAGCCCAAGTTAAAGCTAAGGAGAGGAAGGCTCTTAAAGCATCCACTGTTCTTACTTTGTAAATGACTTAATTATATAAAAAATGAAAAATTAAGCTGCATTTCATTTGATGATATTCAAAAACCTATTTTGGGGATAAATAAAAACGTGGTTAAGCAAAGCATTTTGACAGAAAATATGCTCAATGTTGTGAAGTGTTCGCGTTTGATACTCCAGTAACTGCTAGGCTGATGATTCTGGCACAGAGTGGCTACAGACTCATTATTTTTAAGGGTAGTCATTTTTTCGTATATACTCATTTTTTAGGATATTTACACAAAGACATTAAGTTGTCCTTAAATCGAAAGCTAAAACCACAAAAATGCAGATTCACTATTTTGTTTATATGTGCGGCAAGCTGAACGTACAGGCAACCATACTTACGCCATCATCCATGGGCTTACAACAAGTTGATCAGGGTTGCCAGGTGTGGTGATTTTACAGCAAATCTGATACTTTTTACCCATTGGTGTCCACCACGTACTTGAAAAAATTCTATATTTCATCAAACATATCAGAGATTCGAAAGTCCTAAATGTTAGTGGTCAAACTAGATGCGTCCAGGGAGGTCATGATCTAACGTTTTTGTGGTATAAGGGATATTTTATAAAATAAAAAATGTCATTTATAAAGTTTATATTGAGTAGTTTTGATACACTTTTGTAACATTGTGCAAGTTTAAAAGTTTTGACTAGAAAATATTTAAAATCTAAATATATTGAGAACAGTTTTATTCTTTCAAATCCATAACATAAAAAGGACCTCGATAATAATGTGTCAATTTGTGATTGTTGATATACGCAAATATCTGAAAGAATAAAACTGTTCCAATTCGTGACAAATTTTGCACAAATCTGTAAAGTATTGGCACTAAAAGTTGTACTAAGACTGTAAACATTTAGAAAAATTAACTTGAATCATAAACTTTCATATACAGAGTCCATCAGAATAAAAATTGATCCGCAGCGTATTTACAGGAAACGCCCACCACACAGCAATATATTTTTCTCTCTGATATATAAATACACTGGCTCCCTTCTTTTTCTTCTGGTGGAAACCCTGTATCACTGACACATTCAAATATTAGTGCATATATTTACACTTAGATATCCAATATTGTGCAAATTTGGAAACATCTTGTATACTAGATATTTTCGGAATTATCACTGTAGTCTTGTGGATCTATTCAGTCTAAGAAACATCATTAGTCAACCTACAGTGAGCATTTCATAGGACATACTAAGACATTTTATTTTACACGTAAAAGATTTACCTGCCACAGACAAAAAAAGCAAAGCTCAAATTTTATTCTTTATATAAGTTACACAAAATATTCATTTTGTTATCTCTCATATAAACGAAGTCTTGAAACTGGTCTCAAAATGGTTAGCAACTCAAATTGAATACAAGTAAAACGATTGTGCAAATATTCAACAAAATATTGTTGGTGAAGATATTGAATTCGTAGGAAGTCTCAAATACCTTGGAGTTTTCATTGACTCTCAATTAAATTTTGATATTCATTATGAGAGGACTATAAACAAGATTAGTAGTAAAGTGGGATATTTATCAAGAGTTTCTGGATATTTTGAGTTAATAAAATTAAAATTCCTCGTTGCTGAAATAAATAGAAGACTCATCATCATCAAGTGCATGAGAATAATACTGAATAAAGATAAATATACTCCAATTAGAAAAATGCTTATCAACTGGCTCATTAATGTGGAAAATTTTATCAAATACCTTGTACTGATATTCATTTATAAAGTAACGCCACATACAGTAAATGAAATTCGAGATCAAACATTTTTATCGATAAACATTAAAATACTCTGCAATAAAACAAACTTATAACTTATAAATCTGAAATGACCCACAAGCTACTTACCTATCACAATTCAACTAGAACGTTTTCAGTCAACCTATAAGGCAGGGGATGAGTCAGTACATAGAGAAGAGCCTACACTGTTGGCCCATAACAGCGAGAATATATTTATTATTGACTTAATGTATTTGATAATATAAAATGTGGATGATCTTCTAATAAAAAAAGAAAATATTTCAAGTTTTATACCACAAAATAACTGCATCAAAGATCGAGCAATATAACACTGATATCTACAAAATATGATACAAATATTATGACAGTCCAGTGAACAAAATGACGTCATTATTGGGTCACTTTTGGTCGGATACTAAAAAATGACGTTTTATATCGACGATGATTGATATGAAGACAGTTTGACGTCTTTTTTAGGACAGTCAGTGTTGAAAAATCAACGCTTACCTAGAATATATAGAATTTAAATTAAAAGTAAGGTAAAATAGGTATACTAATGCTAATAAGTACTTTAAAGTATCATGAATCTTCGTACAAAAATATCTTGTGACTATGACTTTTCTAATAACAGCGCCACCTTCAACTAACGAGCCATGAACAGTAGATATGGCAACGCAGCTTTGGGGTCTTCCACAGACAGGTGTTTGCCGGGCTTTTCGTTTGTTTATATTCCTAACCTCCGACTTTTTTGTGCAATTTTGTTGTAAATCTCTGGGAACAGTGCAATTCATACATACCAGAGTAATCTACTTAGTTTTGCTCTTCAAACCGTGCAGAAAGTATTTATTTTAGGTAGTATAAAATCGTGCTTTGATGTGTTTAAAATGTGTGTGAATCGGTGCTTGTTAGAAACGTCTGTATAGTGTGTAGATTCGAGTGGGTACATCTTTTCTTTTAATTAATATGCCTAAGCGTTGCTGTGTACCAGGCTGCAAGGGAAACTACGAGGCAGAATTGAGATCGACACCCTACAGGTCAGTGTTTCGATTTCCAAAAAATGAGGAGTTGAAAAGTAAGTGGCTAGCTTCAATACCAAGAAAGGACTGGTCGGTTAGTTGAAGGTGGCGCTGCTAATAATAATATTAAAAATACGACATACTATGACGTCATGTAACGACGTCAATTGGGTTTGACATTAGACCGCCATAATGACGTTATTTCTACGTCATTGGTCGGCGTACGTCAGTAATGCCCTAAGAATGTCGACATTATGACGTCACTGTGTCCACTGGGAGACTATTTAAAAATCTTAAAAGACTGAATTATAGAAAACACAGCAAAATGTACTAAACATTTAATTAGAAAAGTTTGTTTTCGATACGTAGATAAATTCTATATGTTTTTGGTTAATATGTAGAGTTAATACGTGTAGAAATGTGTAATAAAACCACAAGGAGAAAAAAGATATAAAAAGGCGACATACTTCATAATATGTGGACTGAAAAATAGATTAACATAAAAATTCAGGCTACTAATTATTCTCAGTATAAGAAAAGTAGCACTAACTTGAAAAATAGTTGTGCAAGCTATTTTTTAAAAGATTCTTACGACAGTTCAAGAAAGAAATCCAGAATAAATCATATAATTACTGTTGTCTCTCGAATAAGATGATAGATTTATTCAGTATAATTTTAAAACCTCGGAGGTTCAAATATATCATAAACTATTCAATTTGACCAACAAAAATAATCTATATTTTCAAAAATATACATTCATTAAATATAAATGTCATATGAAGTTGTAGCATAAATTTTTATTTCAAAACAGAATACTCGTATAATTTGGGAATTTACACAACATTCATGGACCGTTATTTTGAGCGTATAAGCATTACGGTAAGTATAAGCAAAGCTTATGAAATAAAAGCAGAAGTGCGATTTTTAAAGCGTGGACTTTAAATATTCTTTCCTTTTACGTTTAAGCTGGCGTTTGAGCAAACACAAAATTTGAGCACGATTACCATTTTCAGGTTGGTTAGAACTGCGCTTCAGAATAGCTGTTACGCATGTGGTTACAGTTAATATTGACATAATGCATAGCTTTGAAGGTGTCGGGAGTAACATACAAGCATAAAGATTTGTTTTAGTCATGCCACAAGTTCAGGTGGAAGATCATCTTGAAAAGCGTTGCTACTTGGAAAATAAGGACGGATCAGAATAAAATAGCTTGGAATAATAGCATTTGATTATATGTCCTTTAAGAAACCACATTCTGGATTCATAACACAGTATTTTTTTTGTAGAAGTTATGTGATAATATCGATGATAGAGTAGGGTGAAACCACGTACTGGTACAAGGTTCATGACGAAGGAATAAAAAAGACAGATACTAATAATACCTTATTATTACAGACGTTTTATCCGACATCCCACCTATAGTTTCTTCTAATTCTGACAGCGTCTAAATATCGTAAAGTAGTTAGTTGAGGATTTATAAACTCTGAAGTTCCGCACTACCGCCGTTTTATTTTCTAATATGTCCTTGACCATTTTTGGAACTTGACCTTGGACTTGACTATCAAGGTCAAACAAAAGTTTACCTTAATTCTTTGAAACTCAGAAAACTGTGTAATCTCCAGATAAACTGACTTAATTGTTCTTTCAGGATTCTTCTCTGGATATAAAAATCGAATTGACCTTTACATTATGTTCAAGTGAATCATTGTAAAGGTCAGATCCAAGGTCACCATTGGATATCCGGGGAAAAATCATGAAAATAATCTATCTATCGTTTCCCTATGACTACTTGTTTTCAACTTTTGTTACCGTACCTGGGTTCAACCTTGACCATAACCTAAGGTCAAAATTTAAGATTGGTCAAGCCCATACTTGAATGTAAAATTTTACGCTTTTTTAATTTACATGGTCCAAAATGGGCGATTCCATTTAAAAAAATCGGCTTGACCTTCGAACGACCTTGAAGGAATGAGGTCAAATTTGTGGACACACAAATGATCGTGGGGTTCCGGAATTTTTCTTCAGTACAATGAACCTAGTCAAGGATGAATCCTAAAAATATTTTTACCTGGATTTGACCTTGACCATGACCTTCTAAGGTCAAAATTTAAGAAGGGTCCAGATCTTAATTGAACGTAAAATGCACCTCTCTTCTCATTTACGGGGTCTAAAATGGGCGGTTCCAGTTAAACAATCGACTTGACATTCAAACGACTTTGAAGGAACAAGGTTAAATTTAAGGTCACATTAATGATTGTGGAGTTCTGGATCTTCTCAGTATAATGAAACTCGTCAAGGATGTATCCTAAAAATATTTTTAACTGGATTTGACCTTGACCATGACCTCCTAAGGTCAAAATTTAAGAAGGGTCCAGATCATAATTGAATGTAAAATGCACCTCTTGTCTCATTTACAGGGTCTAAAATGGGCGATTCCAGTTAAACAATCGACTTGACATTCAAACGACCTTGAAGGAACAAAGTTAAATTTAAGGTCATACAAATAATCGTGGAGTTCCGCAGCTTTTCAATATAATGAACCTAGTCAAGTATGAATCCTAAAAATATTTTTACCTGGATTTGACCTTGACCATGACTTCCTAAGGTCAAAATTTAAAAAGGGTCCAGATCATAATTGAACGTAAAATGCACATATCTTCTCATTTATGGGGTCTAAAATGGGCGGTTCCAGTTAAACAATCGACTTGACATTCAAACGACTTTGAAGGAACAAGGTTAAATTTAAGGTCACACTAATGATTGTGGAGTTCTGGATCTTCTCAGTATAATGAACCTCGTCAAGGATGAATCCTAAAAATATTTTTATCAGGATTTGACCTTGACCATGACCTCGTAAGGTCAAAATTTAAGAAGGGTACAGATCATAATTGAACGTAAAATGCACCTCTATTCTCATTTACGGGGTCTAAAATGGGCGGTTCCAGTTAAACAATCGACTTGACATTCAAACGACTTTAAAGGAACAAGGTTAAATTTAAGGTCACACTAATGATCATGGAGTTCTGGATCTTCTCAGTATAATGAACCTCGTCAAGGATGAATCCTAAAATATTTTTAACTGGATTTGACCTTGACCATGACCTTGTAAGGTCAAAATTTAAGAAGGGTCCAAAATGTATACAAAGAGCGTATTATGCACTCAAGCTGCATTACCCTCATAGACACTTTCTTAGCAGAGACATCAAACGAATGCTATGCGAAACGTTGGTTTTGTCCCAGTTTTCGTATGGTGCTCCTGTCTATTATCCATGCTTGGATGCTGATACGATATCTAGAATTCAGCGTGTTCAAAATTCATGTATAAGGTACATTTTCGGTATAAGGAAATATGACAGAGTTAGTCATAAGCTGAAGGATTTACAGTGGTTGAACATGAAACAGCGTTCAGAACTATTAACACTATGTTTCTACAATAATATTTTGTCGAGCAAGTCACCGCCATATTTGTATGAAAAAGTCATGTTTAGAGAAAGTCTTCATTCTGTCAATGTTCGTTCGAAACAGAATATTTCTGCTCCATTCCATCGAACATGTTTTTTCGAACGTGGCTTCTCTTACAACATCTATAAATTATACAACTCCATCAACCAGCAAATCAAAAATATGAAAGGTTGCAAATTCAAGGCAGCTCTGAGACGATTCCTTTTAGATAAGTATAATTAACTTCACTGATAATACTGTAACATTTAGCTTTTTTGGATGAATCTCATGATTATATGATGGAATATTTTCAGTTTTATATTTTCAGTGTTATTTGTTTTTATTTTGTACTCATGCTTTTTTTCTGCTCTCATATAGTTAGTAGTAGGCATGTAACAGTTGATATCACTATTTTAAAATAGAGCAAGGGATGAGTGGAAGAGCACGCAGGTCGTGAACTCCCCCTTGAGATTCGAGAGCAATTATTCCTATTTGTTGAACATTATTTTTGTATGCATTGTCTCTTCGAATAAAGCCATTTATTATTATTATTATTATTATTATTATTATTATTATTATTATTATTATTATTATTATAATTGAACCTAAAATGCACCTCTATTCTCATTTACGGGGTCTAAAATGGGCGATTCCAGTTAAACAATCGACTTAACACTCATACGACCTTGAAGGAACAAGGTCAAATTTGAGGACACACAAATGATCGTGGAGTTCCGGAGCTTTTCAGTATTATGAACCTAGTCAAGGATGAATCTTAAAAATATTTTTATCTGGATTTGACCGTGACTATGTCCTCGTAAGGTCAAAATTTAAGAAGGGTACAGATCATAATTGAACCTAAAATGCACCTCTATTCTCATTTACGGGGTCTAAAATGGGCGATTCCAGTTAAACAAATCGACTTAACACTCATACGACCTTGAAGGAACAAGGTCAAATTTGTGGACACACAAATGATCGTGGAGTTCCGGAGCTTTTCACTATTATGAACCTAGTCAAGGATGAATCTTAAAAATATTTTTATCTGGATTTGACCGTGACCATGACCTCGTAAGGTCAAAATTTAAGAAGGGTCCAAATCATAAATTTTCAGTACGATTTTCGCTGAAACAGTCGACAATATGGAAGTATTGCCGCCTGCCTTTGATACCGCTAAAACGCATGTTCTTGAAGAGAATGGAGAGAAGAAGCCTCCACCAATGGGGAGGAAACAAAAGCGACAGCAACGATCACAGAACTTTAGAAGAACTACCAACGCAAAAGTTATTGCAGAACGCGCGACTCTTTGCTGATGTTGCGGATAAGTACGAAGCATCTATGTCTGTAGTGCCTGTTAGTAAGACCGCGCCAATGCCACTCACCACCCGTGGGCTTGGTTTTACAGTAGAAGCAGTGCACCGGAAATTAGCTTCAGTGCTCGGAGACCAAATTGCGAATACAATGGATGAAACACAATTATATCGATACACACTTTGCCAATTTGCTCTCGCGCTGAAGAATGGGCTTCCGTACCTGGCCAACACCGCTGTCCCGGTTCGTGATCCTGGGATGTACCAGACTACTCGAGAGATTGAGGAAGTCTACGCCGGAAATCCGAGCAACTTTGGAGTTATTGCTGCTTTGATCAACGCAGTAGGAAAAGTTTCTTATGAGACCGTTGTTTATGCACCTTTTGTTCCTGTAGCTGGATTATCTCCATATCATCTGACAATTCAGAACCTTCGCAGTGCAGTTGTTGCTATGTCAAACCGAGCAACGCCACGCGAATTGAGGGTCATTTTCTACGAACATAACCCAATTCCTGGTTGCATCTGGAATGAGGAACTCGCTGAAGCACAGCCACCTCCTGCCCTCCATCAAGTCAGAGGACGTAGAGACATCAGAGATCGCCGTCAACGTGAACTTGACGCCCGTCGCCGTATCGTCGAGAACCCCGACTTTCCGCTGCTAATGCACTCCATATATGGGAACCACCCCCAGTACAGCAAAGTCACCTTTTCAGTACTCCTTTTTGTGAAGCCGAATTGGAATGTGCCATAAATTTGTTGTGATTAATATCAAAAATGTAAATGATTGCGCCATCTAGCGTTAACAATGTGATATTCTGTATTCATTGTGTGTCCTTCTGAAATAAATCAGTCTTTGGTTAACTGCCAACTCGTGCGTTATACTACAGGTTATGGGCCACATCCGAGTGTAAAAAAAAAAAGTGAAATTCTTGTCGTTTTTAATAGTTAAATTCCGCGTGTGTAAACAAAAATGAGTTCCACCTACCTTGCAAACCTTCCGAAGCTGAAAGGACGCGAAAACTTCGAAGATTGGGCATTCGCGATCGAGAACTTGCTAGTTTTGGAAGGCGCAGAACAGTTTATCAAGCAAGAAGGAACTGATGCTGAAGCTAGGTTATTGGACGCAAGAACACGTGCTAAGTTGGCTTTGACTGTCGATTCATCGTTATTTGTGCACATAAAGGAGACAAAGACAACGAAAGAATTGTGGACAAAATTGCATTCTTTGTTCGACGATTCAGGATTTTCGAGGAGGATTACTTTGCTTCGTCATCTGATTTCTCTAAGGTTAGAAAATTATGAAAACATGACGAATTATGTGACACAAATAGTAGAAACATCTCAACGTTTATGTGGAACAGGTTTTGAGATCAACGATGAATGGGTTGGATCTTTGTTGCTAGCCGGCTTGCCGGAACGATTCATGCCGATGATCATGGCCATCGAATATTCCGGAATCATGATAACCGCTGATTCCATCAAGTCGAAGCTACTCGATATGGAAACTATCGACTCGACCGAAACGACGAACTCAGCACTAGCGATCCGGACTTCGAAGAAGAAGAAAAGCCAGAACCAGAATGGCAACACTGGTAGACATGGCTGTCAACAATCCGTCAAACTCTAAGATCATGAAAAACATAACCTGCTATCGTTGCAAACAAACAGGCCATTATATGAGTAATTGTCCACAAAAGAATGAGAAAATTAAACAAACTAACGCCTTTAGTGTTGTTTTTGTCAGTGGCGAGTTCAGTAAAAATGATTTCTACATAGACTCCGGTGCGAGCATGCACATGACTGCGAACGAAAATTGGCTGAAAAAACCCTACATATTTGTCGGATATCCCAGAAGTAGTCATTACGGACAAAACAAAAGTACCAGTTTTGTGCTCAGGTGATGTAGAAATATCAACAAACTACAATTATGACATAACAGTGAGGGATGTGTTGTTGTTGTGTGTACCCAGTCTCGCAACAAACTTGTTATCAGTCAGTGAACTCATAAAAAATGGTAATAGTCGACAATATGGAAGTATTGTCGCCTGCCTTTGATACCGCTAAAACGCATGTTCTTGAAGAGAATGGAGAGAAGAAGCCTCCACCAATGGGGAGGAAACAAAAGCGACAGCAACGCGCACAGAACTTTAGAAGAACTACCAACGCAAAAGTTATTGCAGAACTCGCGGAACGCGAGACTCTTTGCTGATGTTGCGGATAAGTACGAAGCATCTATGTCTGTAGTGCCTGTTAATAAGACCGTGCCAATGCCACTCACCACCCGTGGGCTTGGTTTTACAGTAGAAGCAGTGCACCGGAAATTAGCTTCAGTGCTCGGAGACCAAATTGCGAATACAATGGATGAAACACAATTATATCGATACACACTTTGCCAATTTGCTCTCGCGCTGAAGAATGGGCTTCCGTACCTGGCCAACACCGATGTCCCGGTCCGTGATCCTGGGATGTACCAGACTACTCGAGAGATTGAGGAAGTCTACGCCGGAAATCCGAGCAACTTTGGAGTTATTGCTGCTTTGATCAACGCAGTAGGAAAAGTTTCTTATGAGACCGTTGTTTATGCACCTTTTGTTCCTGTAGCTGGATTATCTCCATATCATCTGACAATTCAGAACCTTCGCAGTGCAGTTGTTGCTATGTCAAACCGAGCAACGCCACGCGAATTGAGGGTCATTTTCTACGAACATAACCCAATTCCTGGTTGCATCTGGAATGAGGAACTCGCTGAAGCACAGCCACCTCCTGCCCTCCATCAAGTCAGAGGACGTAGAGACATCAGAGATCGCCGTCAACGTGAACTTGACGCCCGTCGCCGTATCGTCGAGAACCCCGACTTTCCGCTGCTAATGCACTCCATATATGGGAACCACCCCCAGTACAGCAAAGTCACCTTTTCAGTACTCCTTTTTGTGAAGCCGAATTGGAATGTGCCATAAATTTGTTGTGATTAATATCAAAAATGTAAATGATTGCGCCATCTAGCGTTAACAATGTGATATTCTGTATTCATTGTGTGTCCTTCTGAAATAAATCAGTCTTTGGTTAACTGCCAACTCGTGCGTTATACTACAGGTTATGGGCCACATCCGAGTGTAAAAAAAAAAAGTGAAATTCTTGTCGTTTTTAATAGTTAAATTCCGCGTGTGTAAACAAAAATGAGTTCCACCTACCTTGCAAACCTTCCGAAGCTGAAAGGACGCGAAAACTTCGAAGATTGGGCATTCGCGATCGAGAACTTGCTAGTTTTGGAAGGCGCAGAACAGTTTATCAAGCAAGAAGGAACTGATGCTGAAGCTAGGTTATTGGACGCAAGAACACGTGCTAAGTTGGCTTTGACTGTCGATTCATCGTTATTTGTGCACATAAAGGAGACAAAGACAACGAAAGAATTGTGGACAAAATTGCATTCTTTGTTCGACGATTCAGGATTTTCGAGGAGGATTACTTTGCTTCGTCATCTGATTTCTCTAAGGTTAGAAAATTATGAAAACATGACGAATTATGTGACACAAATAGTAGAAACATCTCAACGTTTATGTGGAACAGGTTTTGAGATCAACGATGAATGGGTTGGATCTTTGTTGCTAGCCGGCTTGCCGGAACGATTCATGCCGATGATCATGGCCATCGAATATTCCGGAATCATGATAACCGCTGATTCCATCAAGTCGAAGCTACTCGATATGGAAACTATCGACTCGACCGAAACGACGAACTCAGCACTAGCGATCCGGACTTCGAAGAAGAAGAAAAGCCAGAACCAGAATGGCAACACTGGTAGACATGGCTGTCAACAATCCGTCAAACTCTAAGATCATGAAAAACATAACCTGCTATCGTTGCAAACAAACAGGCCATTATATGAGTAATTGTCCACAAAAGAATGAGAAAATTAAACAAACTAACGCCTTTAGTGTTGTTTTTGTCAGTGGCGAGTTCAGTAAAATGATTTCTACATAGACTCCGGTGCGAGCATGCACATGACTGCGAACGAAAATTGGCTGAAAAACCCTACATATTTGTCGGATATCCCAGAAGTAGTCATTACGGACAAAACAAAAGTACCAGTTTTGTGCTCAGGTGATGTAGAAATATCAACAAACTACAATTATGACATAACAGTGAGGGATGTGTTGTTGTTGTGTGTACCCAGTCTCGCAACAAACTTGTTATCAGTCAGTGAACTCATAAAAAATGGTAATAGTCGACAATATGGAAGTATTGTCGCCTGCCTTTGATACCGCTAAACGCATGTTCTTGAAGAGAATGGAGAGAAGAAGCCTCCACCAATGGGGAGGAAACAAAAGCGACAGCAACGCGCACAGAACTTTAGAAGAACTACCAACGCAAAAGTTATTGCAGAACTCGCGGAACGCGAGACTCTTTGCTGATGTTGCGGATAAGTACGAAGCATCTATGTCTGTAGTGCCTGTTAATAAGACCGTGCCAATGCCACTCACCACCCGTGGGCTTGGTTTTACAGTAGAAGCAGTGCACCGGAAATTAGCTTCAGTGCTCGGAGACCAAATTGCGAATACAATGGATGAAACACAATTATATCGATACACACTTTGCCAATTTGCTCTCGCGCTGAAGAATGGGCTTCCGTACCTGGCCAACACCGATGTCCCGGTCCGTGATCCTGGGATGTACCAGACTACTCGAGAGATTGAGGAAGTCTACGCCGGAAATCCGAGCAACTTTGGAGTTATTGCTGCTTTGATCAACGCAGTAGGAAAAGTTTCTTATGAGACCGTTGTTTATGCACCTTTTGTTCCTGTAGCTGGATTATCTCCATATCATCTGACAATTCAGAACCTTCGCAGTGCAGTTGTTGCTATGTCAAACCGAGCAACGCCACGCGAATTGAGGGTCATTTTCTACGAACATAACCCAATACCTGGTTGTATCTGGAACGAGGAACTCGCTGAAGCACAGCCACCTCCTGCCCTCCGTCAAGTCAGAGGACGTAGAGACATCAGAGATCGCCGTCAACGTGAACTTGACGCCCGTCGCCGTATCGTCGAGAACCCCTACTTTCCGCTGCTGATGCATTCCATATATGGGAACACCACCCCCAGTACAGCAAGTCACCTCTTCAGTACTCCTTTTTGTGAAGCCGAATTGGAATGTGCCATTAGTAAATCAATAAATTTGTTGTGATTGATATCAAAAATGTAAATGATTGCGCCATCTAGCGTCACCAATGTGACACTCTGTACTCATTGTGTGTCCTCAAATAAATCAGTCTTTGGTTAACTGCCAACTCGTGCGTTTTACTACAAAATTCATGCCCTGGATATGATGAAATCCGCTACCCGATGCTCAGTAACCTTCCATCGAATGCTAAGGATTACCTTCTAGAAATATTCAATGACGTTTTTTTAAGAGGTGAGATCATTGAGGAGTGGAAAAAAATCGTTGTGGTTCCGATACCAAAGCCCAATAAAAACTGTCAGATTCTTATCGTCCTATTTCTCTCCTGTCCTGCATTCTCAAAACCTTGAGAGGATGATAAAAAATAGGTTGGAATGGTGGCTGCGTTTTCATCCCTTACCAAATCAACAGTTTGCCTTTAGGAAAGGTCTAGGTACTACCGATGCCTTAGCTGTTATTGTTAGTGACATTCAAGGTTGCTTTTCTGCTTATGACCAGATCGACTTAACACTGCTGAGAACAAAATTGGTAATATACGGGCTCCCTCCTCATTTGTGCTACATCATAACTAACTTATATCACAATAGAGCAGTTTTTGTAAGAGATAATACAAACAAAAAAATAGGACCACGTTATAGTTTTGCTGGCCTGCCGCAAGGTGCAGTCCTCAGTCCTATCATTTTCAATATATACACTGCTGACCTACATACAGTTAATCCAACTTCCCGACCAAGTATCCATTTTTTCAGCCGAAGCAGTGGCTATTATCCAAGCTCTGAAACATGCAAGCAGTAGTCACTTGAAAGAATTTACAATTTTTTCCGATAGTCTCTCCGTTCTCTCCTCCTTACAAAATTATGATTGCACAAGGACCAGCAATTGTCACATAAATCAAATAAAACGTAGAATCTGTCACTTGAAAGAAAGTGGAAGCAAGGTTGCATTTGTATGGGTCAAGGCACACTGTGGAATCGTATTCAACGAAAAGTTGACCAACTCGCAAAATCAAGCATCTACACAGGATCTGTATTACAGACACAAATTTCCAAAGAAGATTATAATATTTTATCCAAACAAATCCGATTTAAAAGCTCGACTTTAGAATGGAAGGAATTCTGCTTTACGAACCCAACGAGGTATACTTTAATACATCCTGATATCCCAACAACGTACTGGCACAACAAATTTAGAATTCCTCGTAAATACATATCTATGATTATTAGAGCAAAACTCGGGCATGGAGCTTATCCAACACATCTAGCTAGATTCCGTATTATTGATTCCAACTTATGTGAACACTGCAACATTGAGGGGAACTTGGATCATCTATTTTTTGGCTGTTTGAAGTTATCTCCATACTGTGATCGACTCTATCTTAATCTGATTGGCTTAGGCCTTATCTCACCATTTAATGTTCTCCACATTCTAGCTTTGAATAGACTTGATGTTACGTGTCTGATAATTGACTTTTTGAAAACCTCTGGGTTAAAATTTTAGTTTTGATTAGCTAGATATCCTCAGAGTAACTATCCTCTGTAATTACCTACCTAACCGTGGCCTAATTGTTGTCCTTAGGCGATCCTTACTTAGTTAGAGAAGTTTAAATTGTAAAAAAGGATCTGGTAAAATGCACCTCTCTTCTCATTTACGGGGTCTAAAATGGGCGATTCCAGTTTAAACAATCGACTTGACATTCATATGACCTTGAAGGAACAAGGTCAAATTGAAGGTGACACAAATGATCATGGAGTTCCGCAGCTTTTCAGTATAATGAACCTAGTCAAGGATGAATCCTAAAAATATTTTTACCTGGATTTGACCTTGACCATGACCTTCTAAGGTCAAAATTTAAGAAGGGTCCAGATCATAATTGAACGTAAAATGCACCTCTATTCTCATTTACGGGGTCTAAAATGGGCGGTTCCAGTTAAACAATCGACTTGACATTCAAACGACTTTGAAGGAACAAGGTTAAATTTAAGGTCACACTAATGATTGTGGAGTTCTGGATCTTCTCGGTATAATGAACCTCGTCAAGGATGAATCCTAAAAATATTTTTACCTGGATTTGACCTTGACCATGACCTCGTAAGGTCAAAATTTAAGAAGGGTCCAGATCATAATTGAACGTAAAATGCACCTATCTTCTCATTTACGGGGGTCTAAAATGGGCGGTTCCAGTTAAACAATCGACTTGACATTCAAACGACTTTGAAGGAACAAGGTTAAATTTAAGGTCACATTAATGATTGTGGAGTTCTGGATCTTCTCAGTATAATGAAACTCGTCAAGGATGTATCCTAAAAATATTTTAACTGGATTTGACCTTGATCATGACCTCGTAAGGTCAAAATTTAATAATGGTAAAGACCATATTTGAACGTAGAATTTTCCACTTTTTTCATTTACGGGGTCAAAAATGGGGGGTTCCATTTAAAAAATTGGCTTGACCTTCGAACTACCTTGAAGGAATGAGGTCAAATTTGAGGACACACAAATGATCGTGGGGTTCCGGAACTTTTCAGTATAATGAACCTCGTCAAGGATGAATCCTAAAAATATTTTTACCTGGATTTGACCTTGATCATGACCTCCTAAGGTCAAAATTTTAGAAGGGTCCAGATCATAATTGAACGTAAAATGCACCTCTATTCTCATTTACGGGGTCTGAAATGGGCGGTTCCAGTTAAACAATCGACTTGACATTCAAACGACTTTGAAGGAACAAGGTTAAATTTAAGGTCACACTAATGATTGTGGAGTTCTGGATCTTCTCAGTATAATGAACCTCGTCAAGGATGAATCCTAAAAACATTTTTACGTGGATTTGACCTTGATCATGCCTTCTAAGGTCAAAATTCAAGAAAGGTCAGGACCATAATTGAACGTAACATTTTCCGCTCTTTTCATTTACGGGGTCAAAAATGAGAGCTTCCATTTAAAAAAATCGACTTGACCTTCACACGAACTTGAAGGAACAACGTCAAATTTAAGGTCACAGAAATGATCGTGGGGTACCGAAACTTTCCAGTGTAATGAACCTCGTTAAGGATGAATCCTAAAAACACTTTTACCTCTCGATATTCCAACATTACTCAATCTAACGTCAAACGTTCGAACCTGGGTTCGCGCGTTTACAGCGTAGCCTGCGGTGGTTTGCTATGTCCGCCGTCCTGTCCAGCTGCGGCCGCCTCCCCGTTCGTCGCCGCGGACGTAGTTTGTCTCAACCAATGCTTCAGGTTCCTCGTACGTTCCACCAGATGCGTGGTGACAGCTTGTTCCCCGCCTGCCCCCGCGGCGGTCACCATCGTACTCTGCGCGTTGGCCAACACGGCGACCTGTTGCCTGTACGTGTGGAGGCGGTCGGCAAGCGTGGGGATCGAGTGTGGGGCCGTTGAAGAGCCGGCCGCCGCTGCGGCTAACATTGGCCAGCCGAGGTCCGGGTACATCGCTAGCGGCGGGATGGGCGTTACTGCAGAGAAAATAAACGGAAGACAGTTGCACGGGTTCATAAAAGAGTGATGTTTGCTGGGGAGTACAACTAAACTAATTGAATGTCAATAAGGGGGCGATTTTTAGAGCACTTTCTGCCTTAGCGCAAACGTAGTTCCAGGATATATACACGCATGTATACACGTATAGTGAAAAAGAAGTTATTTACTATTTTATTATTTCTCACCTTTAGCGATGTTATTCTGCTGTTGCTGCGTCCTCAACACATCCCATATCTCCCTGATCTCCGAGTTGAGATTCTCCAGGCTCTGCATAATCTCCGAAGACTCCTGGTACTTTTCGCAACCTCTAGCGAACTCGTTCGCGGCAAACTCGGTACTGCTGATGCCTGAACTCGCGCTGTGCGAAGACAAATCGCTAAGCGTCGCGTCTTCGGCCCTCTGCTCGCTTTGCAGGTTCGCCCTTTGGAGAGATTGTTCGAGATGGCGGAGACGTATCACTTTTTCGCCCAAGAGACTGCGCGTCCGATGCAGGTTCACCTCCATGTCGGTCAGCTCCTTCTCCTCCTGCAAGTGGAAAGGACGATGCTAATTCATATTCAATGACATAGAAGTGCTGTAATTTGGAGCAAAACGGTGGAAAAAATTGGAAGGCAGAAAGGCATCGCCAAATATTTGCATGATGAACTGCCTGAACCTTCAACAGTAGAAGTTCAGTCACAGGTATGTGACAAGGCATGCCAAACCAAACAGGTATACTTTATCTGAAGTCACTTGAAACACTGTGAAATACCGGGTGCGTTTTATATATCTATATTTAACACGCTCTGTTGCTGCAAAAATCGCCAAATTTCGCAGCAAATATAAGATATATAAGTATAAGATCGAAGGCAGTTTCACCGGTCCACGTGGAGTAAAGCACGCCTATGCGTGGACATAGCCAATGAGAAAGCGTGTATTTCAGAGCTCCGAACAAGTGCAGGTGGCTACTGAAAATTGAAACAGTTTAGCCAGTGCCGTGTAGCGGTGAATAAACGTGTTTTCTTTAGTCTGTCCGTGTTTTTTCATAGATTTTATTAGTTTGTGTGTTTTTGACTTTTGAATACTCAGTTTACTTGTTGATTTAATTGTTGTGTTGATTGTTCTTGTGTGTCCTAAATATGGCTCTTTGGAGACCTTGGGAAAATGCTCCAAGCCACGAGGAGATGGTTGATGAACCTGTGCAGGCAGAATTCTTTCATAAAGATTTAGAGGAACAGACCCAAAGAGTAATCCTAAATATGTATGATTGTCTGAAAAACGAAAATCCAGATTCCTCGCAAAATCAAATTTTAAACAGAATTTGTATCCAGACAAAAATCAGTCGGTCTACCATTTATCGGGTTATAAAAAGGGGAGATGTAGTCAACCATTCCTTCCACAGAAAGCGCATAGGGCAAAAATTAAAAAGAATAGACGTGGGTTTTTAGGAAGATATTCGTCGTATAATATACGGATTTTATAAAGAAAATTTGGTGCCCACGTTGGAAATGATACGGAATAAATTAAAAGATTATCCTGAAGATTTTTATAATTACAAATGCTTAGACTCACTGCACCGTATTGTAAAACTGTGTGGTTTTCAATACAAAAAATTAGATAAAGGAATGGTGATTATGGAGTCGTCTCGAATCGTTGAATTGCGCCAAGAATTTTTGCACAAAGTTAAAATCTACAGAGAGCAGAAAAGAAATCTGATTTACCTGGATGAAACGTGGTATGATACCCATGATGTTGTGCAGTACGGCTGGGTTGACGACAGCAACAAGTGCATTTTAAATGCACCATGCAACCGTGGAAAACGAATCATTATTCTCCATGCTGGCAGTGAAAATGGATTTATACCTAATGCCTTGCTGTTATCTGCCAAAAATATCAAAGAATCATGTGCCGACTATCATGAGGACATGACCTCCGACTTATTTGAAAAGTGGATAGAGCAGCAGTTAATACCAAACATTTCCCCAAATTCAGTGATTATTATGGACAATGCGTCATACCATTCCCGACAGAAAAGCAAAATTCCGAATACAGGCACAAAAAAACAAGATATTATTGATTTTATGAAGGATAAGGGAATGGAAATACCACAAAATCAACCAAAGCCATATTATTGGATCTTATTAAAAGACAAAAGTTTGAAAAGAGTATGTTGTTGACAATCTGCTTCAGCAAAATGGCCATGAAGTATTACGTCTACCTCCCTATTACTGCATTTTTAATCCGATTGAGTTGGTCTGGGCTGCTTTAAAAAAAAAGTAAGAAAACATAATCAGACCCCTCAATTAAGTGAATCGCTATTGGCCACAATAAGAGATGCAGTATCTCATATTGCTGCCACAGACCTATGGAAGCAGTGTTCTAGGCATATTATTGAAAAAGAAAATGAATATTGTGTTTTGCCTCCTGTAAATCCGTTGTAATTCCTCTACAAGATGACTCTAGCGACAGCTCCGAAGGCGAGGATGATATATAAATACCTATAATGTAAGTCTTTATATACCTTTTTATATACCTGCCTGCTATGTAAATATTTGCCTATGTCAACGTTGGAATTCTGTAATTTTTCCATTTCTTAACTTTCAGTCAACATAAATTAAACTCCCAATATAAGTATTTTTTATCCCAAATCAAAAAAAATAAGAAGATAGTAAAATCCATTTATTGTGATATAAAAACATTATTATTATCGTTCTAAATAATGGCCGCACGCCTATGATACGTCATGAAATTACAAAGGACGCGCCGACCAAAGGTTTTTTATGCTATTTCAAGTGACTTCAGATAGAGTATACATTTTAGAAGCAAGTCAGTTCAAATCTCGCAAAAACGGAAAGTAATGGATGTTGCTGTATCGCTTGCTAAACAGATTTCAGAGCGGCACAAAAAACGTTTGCAAGTGGAAAGTGAACGGGCAAATCTTGAAAGTCCCGCAATAGCAGAAACATCCGAATCTGATTCGTATGAAGCCAGTGGAAGCAGTACTGAAAGTGGTGACAGCGAAGCTGACCAGCTTTCTGCCGAGATCGTAGTTATTCTAAGCGCAATATTAGTCAACGTTTAGAACCTGGCTTCATGGCCCATCCCCCGATGCAGGCCTAAGCTTTGTTATTTTAGTAGTAGTAGTAGAAAGATTTATTAAGCACATTTGGCTACATAAACAGAATAATTGTAAACAACTCAGAACTAGTAAATTCAAGCCATATTGTGTATGATGTAAATGCTGGGCAACCTATAATTGTAGATTTAACAAGTGATTTCTCAATTTTACTTTAAATTTTGACAAAGCTTTCTGGTCTTTTATCTCCGAGTATAATTTATTATATTCAATCAACCCTTGATGGAATACAGATTTGTAGCATATGTTATACTTTTTGGTCATTAAATGGAAGTCATCTTTATTTCTGGTAGTATGTAAATGATTTTCGACATTTGATGATGTTAAATTAGTTAAACTTGATGGAAATATATTATTTTTTACTTTATAAATGAATATCATTACAAGATATTGATAAAATGTTTTACATTGAGCCATTTTAATTTGCTAAGCATTTGCCTAGTATATTTATCTTTATTTAGTATTATTCTCATGCACTTATTTTGTAAAATTTGCAGTCTTTCAAAAATGGAATTATTTGCTAAATATGGAATAGTCGAACAGTACAAGATATTTGGAAGATGACGGTATCATAGATAATTTTTCTGCTATATGAACTCAGACATCCAGAAACTCTCGATAAATATCCCACTTTACTACTAATCTTATTTATAACTTTTTCATAATGAATATCAAAAATTAATCGAGAGTCAACAAAAACCCCCAGGCATTTGAAATTTTCTACGAATTCAATATCTTCACCATCAATATTCAGTTGAACATTTGTACATTGCTTTTTTCCGATTAACAAGGCTTTCGTTTTACTTGCATTTAATTTTAGTCTGTTAGATGCTAACCATTTGAGACAAGCTTCAAGTCTTCATTTATATAAGAGATACCAGACTGAATATTTTTAGTACTTATATAAATCATAGTGTCATCGGCGAAAATCTAAATTTTGCATTTTTTGACTATGGCAGGTAAATCATTTATGTATAAAATAAAAAGAAGTGGTCCCAGGATACTGCCCTGTGGAACACCCAATGTATTTTCAATTTTTGATGAAATAGTGTCATTAACTTTTGTAACTTGCATCCTTTTCAGGAAAAGAACTGCTTCTCAGTGAACAATTGATCAAATTTAATACAGGATATCCCAAAATTTCGAAACAGTTTTTCAGCACGTTTTTAGTAGTGATTTCGGCACAGTTGTTATTTGATTTTAAACTGTTTACTTTTTTTCTTAGATAATTCAATGATACGCTGTGAAATTTTAAAGTGTATGCAACATTTCCCCCTGGAAACTGATTTTCATATAGTCAGGTGCAGCATTGGTAGTAGCTATAAAATTCTATAATGTGACTGCCCCCCTCCCGTAATTTAAGTATTCCCCAATAGACCCTAAAAAAATAAGATTCTCTCTACATCCCTGGAATTTCTCTCATTGAAAACATATTAGGTACCATACTTTACTTCAAAATAGTGTAATAGAGCCTCATTATGCATGCAAAAATAACCAATTTCGGGGCTCTTAATAGACTTAACAAGGTAAAAAGGTATGTATGATAATTTAAATTCCATAATATTTTACCTAGAAGGACAAAGGCAGAGATAAATAGCCTTCAGAATTCTTGTCACGAGCAGGCATTATTGTTAAGATATGCACTATCGCATGTTACTGTTTTGGCAACGTTGCCTGATAGGTTAGGTTGGCATACCATATCGGGTGACAGTTTGAAGTTGCTGTTGTATGGTGTTACAGATGTAAAAAAGTGAATGTTCCGTGATCAAGTGTCCGTGCGGGTGCGTCTATCTGTTCTGCACTTCCTCAATATTACTAATAAAATATAGTGATTACTCCGGCATCGTCTGCACTCTGCAGTTTTATTTCTCTCATCCCCCAAGGCTTCTAATAATCGCCAACAATTATTATGTCTTAATATTATATAATATTTATTATTAGCTTTCAATAGTCTAAAGCAAAGCAGGATTAATTTTTGCGGAGAAATTGGAGCTAAACAAAAAAAATTACCTTCATATAGGTACTGACCGAACTACTTTAACACCGCTATTCCGAGGTTCATTTAAATTTGCATTGTTTGCCAAAAACTCGTACACCATTTCCGCATTCACATATAATAAGCGTTTATTGCCCAACAGTTTAACACCATTTACAGAGCAAACTACTATAAAAAAAATCATCATGAGGTAGCTTGTTAAGAAAAAAAAAACAATAATAATTCATGTATCAATAACAAAAAATAAATATAGTTACAGCTTAAAAATAAGAAACGTAAGATAAATCAAAAGTGAGCACGCAATTTGCACTTCAATTCACCTATGCTATATAAGAATATGTCACATACATCGGCTATTTTATTCGCATTCACACACATCATGTTGACAGGCGCTTTCGACAATAAGTTTGTTTGAGCTCTTTGACATAAAAAAGGAACA